TCACAGCTCACAGCAACCTCCAACTCCTGGGCTCAAGCGAGTCTCCTGCCCCAGCCTCCCAAGTAGCTGGGACCACAGGCGCGCGCGCCACAACGCCTGGCTATTTTTTGGTTGCAGCCATCATTGTTGTTTGGTGGGTCCGGGCTGGATTTGAACCTGCCACCTTATGTGTATGTGGCTGGCACCTTAGCCACTTGAGCCACAGGTGCCGAGCCCCAATTTTTTTTAATTAATTTTTTTGAGACAGAGTCTTACTTTGTTGCCCTCAGTAGAGTGCAGTGGCATCTCAGCTCACAGCAACCTCCAGCTCTTAGGCTTAGGCGATTCTCTTGCCTCAGCCTCTGAGCAGCTGGGACTACAGGCACCCGTCACAATGCCTGGCTATTTTTTTGTTACAGTTTGGCCGGGGTCAGTTTTGAACCCGCCACACTCGGTATATGGGGCCAGCGCCCTACTCACTGAACCACAGGTGCCGCCCCCTTTTATTTTTTATGTCAAACTAATCTGAGGATACAAATTTTTAGGTTACATTGTTCTCACTTCCAAGGTATTTGTAAAAGAGCCCCTCACCCAGGAGACATGTTATACGCCCTCACAATATTCCAAAAGAAACTTTTTTACTGCTATTTTGGCTTTTGCAAAGCAAGCATTATCTAAGAAGTTTTTAGTCTTTCCCAATGGCTCCCTTGAAATTATTTTGGAAAAACAAAAATTGGGGCCCAAATGGAAATAAGATCAAGCTCAACATACTCTCATGGCTTCCTATAGTCCTTTCTATGATCTCAGACCTCACAAGATCTATAACCCAGTTACCTCTAATTTTATCTCCTGTTCTCTAGCAAGTGCCCTCTGTTCCAGCCTCACTTCTACCCCAAGGTCTTTGCATTTGCTGTTTCCTCTACTTGAAATGGGCTTTTGTTTGACTTGCCAACTCAGTGTCCTTCAGGTTCATCTAACCCAGCTGTTCTCAACCTGTCACCACCCACAGGAAATATTAAAGGGCTGCTGAGTTAGGAAGGTTGAGAACCATTGATGTAGCCTGAGCACCTTGTTTAAAATTAGCTTACCCTATCTCCCTTCAGTGCTATGTTCTTCTTGAAAACATTTATCACAAAGATTCTAGTACTTACTTATTTAGCTTTCTGCCTCTCCACTTGCAACCATGATGGCCAGGGTCTTTATTTTGTTCCCTGTATCCCTAGGCGCTCAGTAAACATATATTGGATGAACAGATGTGTGTGGTGGCAGAAGCTAGTAGGATAGGAAATACAAGCTGACCCCAACGCAAGGTTTAAGGGGTGCTGTGGGCCCTTTCTATCTTTCTACCCTCTACAGTGATCCTTCCCTTGGCTGGACTCCTCCTCCTCCAGCGGACTTCCTTAAACTGAAACCCTGGGAGGCAGAGCTGCTCCTACTCCCTTAACCAGAGCAAGGCTGCTGCTTGGTCTTTGGGAACAAGTTCACAAAGTTTTTGGCATATTGACGGCATTAGGTTTTACTGTGACCCTACTCTCAATGATATATATATATATATAT